CGATTTATATAGCTCAAACCACGGCTGATATGTGTCTGTTCTTCCTTCTTCTAGGAGAAAAAAGTGGCCAAGCGCAGCAGCCAAGCAAGCCGGCTATCCTCCAACTCCAAACGGCGTAAATTGCTTCAATTTCCCCCTTTAAATAAAATTGAATAAATTACCTCTGTGTGTCCGTGTCATGTGTCCGAATCCGAATCGAGCTACGTGGCTGTGGGCTTGCGCCCTGGGCGTCCGTCCTAGCGAGCCGGCCCCAGGCGTATGTCCTGATTAATCCGGCCTGAACGAGGGATGAATCCGTATTAATGGGGTACAGGTCACCGCTTAGAGACGCGTGGGGCCGGCTGTGGGGACTCGTGATAACACTTTCTCCCAATAGTTCGGTTTGGGGCACCAGCAGCACCGTTTCTGCAAATTAAGTTAGTTTTGGGTAACCAGCAGCACAGTTTCCTGCAAAGTTAATTGTGGGTAACCATCGGTACCGTTTCAGAAAGCGAGAAGCCTTAAATCACCGGTCCACTCTGACATCCATGACCCTCAAGCTCTGGCCTCAAGCCGGACAGGGTGTGACCTCTCGGGCCTTTCTCTGCCGGAGGTACGGGCTGCCGTAACTGGTTATCGCTGACCTGCCGTCAAGGTTTCAGGGAAGGCGTGATTTAGTGGACTTAGGTTTTGAGCGATACACATTTTAGATCTCCAGGGTAGCGCCTGCGCCCCGCAAGCCGGCTCCGGTCGTCCGTTTTGGGCATGGTGCATAGATTGAGTGTGGGTTGGTGGTGTCCGGTCAACTCCGTGGCTATAGATCATCGGGACATGTCTGCCAATCCCTGCCCTGGCTTGCACACTTTCCCCCGGGTATGCATAGCCCCGTGGCTCGGTGAAGTGGAAGTTCTGGTGCTTCAATAGCGACGTTGTGGCTGGGCCCCGCAAGCCGGCTCTGGTCGTCCGTTTTGGGCATGGTGCTGCATAGATTGAGTGTGGGTTGGTGGTGACCGGTCAACTCCGTGGCTATAGATCACCGGGACATGTCTGCCAATCCCTGCCCTGGCTTGCACACTTTCCCCCGGGTATGCATAGCCCCGTGGCTCGGTGAAGTGGAAGTTCTGGTGCTTCAATAGCGACGTTGTGGCTGGGCCCCGCAAGCCGGCTCTGGTCGTCCGTTTTGGGCATGGTGCTGCATAGATTGAGTGTGGGTTGGTGGTGTCCGGTCAACTCCGTGGCTATAGATCATCGGGACATGTCTGCCAATCCCTGCCCTGGCTTGCACACTTTCCCCCGGGTATGCATAGCCCCGTGGCTCGGTGAAGTGGAAGTTCTGGTGCTTCAATAGCGACGTTGTGGCTGGGCCCCGCAAGCCGGCTCTGGTCGTCCGTTTTGGGCATGGTGCTGCATAGATTGAGTGTGGGTTGGTGGTGACCGGTCAACTCCGTGGCTATAGATCACCGGGACATGTCTGCCAATCCCTGCCCTGGCTTGCACACTTTCCCCCGGGTATGCATAGCCCCGTGGCTCGGTGAAGTGGAAGTTCTGGTGCTTCAATAGCGACGTTGTGGCTGGGCCCCGCAAGCCGGCTCTGGTCGTCCGTTTTGGGCATGGTGCTGCATAGATTGAGTGTGGGTTGGTGGTGACCGGTCAACTCCGTGGCTATAGATCATCGGGACATGTCTGCCAATCCCTGCCCTGGCTTGCACACTTTCCCCCGGGTATGCATAGCCCCGTGGCTCGGTGAAGTGGAAGTTCTGGTGCTTCAATAGCGACGTTGTGGCTGGGCCCCGCAAGCCGGCTCTGGTCGTCCGTTTTGGGCATGGTGCTGCATAGATTGAGTGTGGGTTGGTGGTGTCCGGTCAACTCCGTGGCTATAGATCATCGGGACATGTCTGCCAATCCCTGCCCTGGCTTGCACACTTTCCCCCGGGTATGCATAGCCCCGTGGCTCGGTGAAGTGGAAGTTCTGGTGCTTCAATAGCGACGTTGTGGCTGGGCCCCGCAAGCCGGCTCTGGTCGTCCGTTTTGGGCATGGTGCTGCATAGATTGAGTGTGGGTTGGTGGTGTCCGGTCAACTCCGTGGCTATAGATCATCGGGACATGTCTGCCAATCCCTGCCCTGGCTTGCACACTTTCCCCCGGGTATGCATAGCCCCGTGGCTCGGTGAAGTGGAAGTTCTGGTGCTTCAATAGCGACGTTGTGGCTGGGCCCCGCAAGCCGGCTCTGGTCGTCCGTTTTGGGCATGGTGCTGCATAGATTGAGTGTGGGTTGGTGGTGTCCGGTCAACTCCGTGGCTATAGATCATCGGGACATGTCTGCCAATCCCTGCCCTGGCTTGCACACTTTCCCCCGGGTATGCATAGCCCCGTGGCTCGGTGAAGTGGAAGTTCTGGTGCTTCAATAGCGACGTTGTGGCTGGGCCCCGCAAGCCGGCTCTGGTCGTCCGTTTTGGGCATGGTGCTGCATAGATTGAGTGTGGGTTGGTGGTGTCCGGTCAACTCCGTGGCTATAGATCATCGGGACATGTCTGCCAATCCCTGCCCTGGCTTGCACACTTTCCCCCGGGTATGCATAGCCCCGTGGCTCGGTGAAGTGGAAGTTCTGGTGCTTCAATAGCGACGTTGTGGCTGGGCCCCGCAAGCCGGCTCTGGTCGTCCGTTTTGGGCATGGTGCTGCATAGATTGAGTGTGGGTTGGTGGTGACCGGTCAACTCCGTGGCTATAGATCACCGGGACATGTCTGCCAATCCCTGCCCTGGCTTGCACACTTTCCCCTGGGTGTGCATTGCCCCGTGGCTCGGTGAAGTGCAAGTTCTGGTGCTTCAATAGCGGCGTTGTGGCTGCGCCCCGCAAGCCGTCTACCAAGAGAATAAAGGCGGTAAGAGCACCAACGGCGGCCGGCCAAACTCCAGTAGTGACAGCCAGGTGGGTCACCAGCAGCACACAATACTCAATTGGGCCACCAGCAGCACGCAATACTCAATTGGGCCACTAGCGTCACACAATACTCGATTGGGTCACCAGCGGCACGCAGCCCCCAAATCCAAATAGTAAAGGCAAGGTGGGCAACCAGCGTCAAACAATACTCGATTGGGTCACCAGCGGCACGCAGCCCCCAAATCCAAATAGTAAAGGCGAGGTGGGCAACCAGCGTCAAACAATACTCGATTGGGTCACCAGCGGCACGCAGCCCTCAAATCCAAATAGTAAAGGCCAAGAGGGCCACCAGCGGCACGCATTACTGAAATGGGTCACCAGCAGCACGTGAGTCTGTCAAGTGCATTTTAACAAAGTCAGTGTCCCCGGGCTTAATAGTGGGGTGCCCGGGCACGGCTGGTGAACGGGTTCCATGTGGTGGGGTCGTAGGCCGGCCCATGTCTCCCGGCTTCAAGCCCAGGCCGGCCAGCCAGCCAGCCAGCCAGCCAGCCACCCCCAATCCAGCCAGGCCAGGTCAGGTCAGGCAAGCCCAGGCCGGCCAGCCAGCCAGCCAGCCAGCCACCCCCAGCCCAGCCAGGCCAGGCCAGGTCAGGCAAGCCCAGGCCGGCCAGCCAGCCAGCCAGCCAGCCACCCCCAGCCCAGCCAGGCCAGGCCAGGTCAGGCAAGCCCAGGCCGGCCAGCCAGCCAGCCAGCCAGCCAGGCCAGGCCAGGTCAGGCAAGCCCAGGCCGGCCAGCCAGCCAGCCAGCCAGCCACCCCCAATCCAGCCAGGCCAGGCCAGGTCAGGCAAGCCCAGGCCGGCCAGCCAGCCAGCCAGCCAGCCAGCCACCCCCAATCCAGCCAGGCCAGGCCAGGTCAGGCAAGCCCAGGCCGGCCAGCCAGCCAGCCAGCCAAGTCCAGCCAAGCCCACCCCCAGTCAGCCAGCCAGCCAGCCAGCCAGCCAGCCAGGCCAGGCCAGCCAAGCCCAGCCCAGCCCACCCCCAGTCAGCCAGCCAGCCAGGCCAGGCCAGGCCAGCCAAGCCCAGCCCAGCCCACCCCCAGTCAGCCAGCCAGCCAGCCAGCCCAGGCCAGCCAAGCCCACCCCCAGTCAGCCAGCCAGCCAGCCAGCCAAGCCCACCCCCAGTCAGCCAGCCAGCCAGCCAGCCAGGCCAGGCCAGGCCAGGCCAGCCAAGCCCAGCCCAGCCCAGCCCAGCCCACCCTCAGTCAGCCAGCCAGCCAGCCAGGCCAGGCCAGGCCAGCCAAGCCCAGCCCCAGTCAGCCAGCCAGCCAGCCAGCCAGCCCAGGCCAGCCAAGCCCACCCCCAGTCAGCCAGCCAGCCAGCCAGCCAGCCCAGGCCAGCCCAGCCCACCCCCAGTCAGCCAGCCAGCCAGCCAGCCAGCCCAGGCCAGCCAAGCCCACCCCCAGTCAGCCAGCCAGCCAGCCAGCCAGCCAGCCAGGGCAGGCCAGGCCAGCCCAGCCCAGCCCAGCCCACCCCCAGTCAGCCAGCCAGCCAGCCAGGCCAGGCCAGGCCAGGCCAGCCAAGCCCAGCCCACCCCCAGTCAGCCAGCCAGCCAGCCAGCCAGCCCAGGCCAGCCAAGCCCACCCCCAGTCAGCCAGCCAGCCAGCCAGCCAGCCCAGGCCAGCCAAGCCCACCCCCAGTCAGCCAGCCAGCCAGCCAGCCAGGCCAGGCCAGGCCAGCCAAGCCCAGCCCACCCCCAGTCAGCCAGCCAGCCAGCCAGCCAGCCAAGCCCACCCCCAGTCAGCCAGCCAGCCAGCCAGGCCAGGCCAGGCCAGGCCAGGCCAGCCAAGCCCAGCCCACCCCCAGTCAGCCAGCCAGCCAGCCAGCCAGCCCAGGCCAGCCAAGCCCACCCCCAGTCAGCCAGCCAGCCAGCCAGCCAGGCCAGGCCAGGCCAGGCCAGGCCAGCCAAGCCCAGCCCAGCCCAGCCCAGCCCAGCCCAGCCCAGCCCACCCTCAGTCAGCCAGCCAGGCCAGCCAAGCCCAGCCCACCCCCAGTCAGCCAGCCAGCCAGCCAGCCAGCCCAGGCCAGCCAAGCCCACCCCCAGTCAGCCAGCCAGCCAGCCAGCCAGCCAGCCAAGCCCACCCCCAGTCAGCCAGCCAGCCAGCCAGCCAGCCAGCCAGGCCAGGCCAGGCCAGGCCAGGCCAGGCCAGCCCAGCCCAGCCCAGCCCACCCCCAGTCAGCCAGCCAGCCAGCCAGGCCAGGCCAGGCCAGCCAAGCCCAGCCCACCCCCAGTCAGCCAGCCAGCCAGCCAGCCAGCCAGCCAAGCCCACCCCCAGTCAGCCAGCCAGCCAGCCAGCCAGCCAGCCAAGCCCACCCCCAGTCAGCCAGCCAGCCAGCCAGGCCAGGCCAGGCCAGGCCAGGCCAGCCAAGCCCAGCCCAGCCCAGCCCAGCCCAGCCCAGCCCACCCCCAGTCAGCCAGCCAGCCAGCCAGGCCAGGCCAGGCCAGCCAAGCCCAGCCCACCCCCAGTCAGCCAGCCAGCCAGCCAGCCAGCCCAGGCCAGCCAAGCCCACCCCCAGTCAGCCAGCCAGCCAGCCAGCCAGCCAGCCAGGCCAGGCCAGGCCAGCCCAGCCCAGCCCACCCCAGTCAGCCAGCCAGCCAGCCAGGCCAGGCCAGGCCAGGCCAGGCCAGGCCAGGCCAGGCCAGGCCAGCCAAGCCCAGCCCACCCCCAGTCAGCCAGCCAGCCAGCCAGCCAGCCAGCCAGCCCAGGCCAGCCAAGCCCACCCCCAGTCAGCCAGCCAGCCAGCCAGCCAGCCAGCCAGGCCAGGCCAGGCCAGGCCAGGCCAGCCCAGCCCAGCCCAGCCCAGCCCCAGTCAGCCAGCCAGCCAGCCAGCCAGCCAGCCAGGCCAGGCCAGCCCAGCCCAGCCCAGCCCAGCCCAGCCCAGGCCAGCCAAGCCAGCCCACCCCCAGTCAGCCAGCCAGCCAGCCAGCCAGGCCAGGCCAGGCCAGCCAAGCCCAGCCCAGCCCACCCCCAGTCAGCCAGCCAGCCAGCCAGCCCAGGCCAGCCAAGCCCACCCCCAGTCAGCCAGCCAGCCAGCCAGGCCAGGCCAGCCCAGCCCAGCCCAGCCAGCCAGCCAGCCAGCCCAGGCCAGCCAAGCCAGCCCAGGCCAACCCAACCAGCCCAGGCCAGCCAAGCCAGCCCACCCCCAGTCAGCCAGCCAGCCAGCCAGCCAGGCCAGTCAGTCAAGCCAAGCACAATGTCAGTTGTGGGTAACCAGCAGCACCAATCTGAGAGACAAAGTTATTTTTGGGTGACCAGCAGCACAGTTTCATTGCAAAGTTAGTTGTGGGTAACCATCGGTACCGTTTCTGAAAGCGAGAAGCCTTAAATCACCAGTCCACTCCGACATCCATGACCCTCGAGCTCTGGCCTCAAGCCGGGCAGGGTGTGACCTCTCGGGCCTTTCCCTGCCGGACGTCCGGGTAACCGTAGCTGGTTATCGCTGACCTGCCGTCGAGGTTTCGGGGAAGGCGTGATTTAGCGGACTTAGGTTTTGAGCGCGTAACTACGTGCCACCGCCTTCCACCACATGACCGATGGGAAATGTGCGCGATGCCCCAGGGGCAGGCCCCTCGCCCGGTCATCTGACAAAGGGGACCGCTGTGGGTGGGGTGAGATCCTCCCCGATTTGGGCATTCGAAAGGAGGGCGAGGTGGGTCTTCACCCGGTCCTCGACCCTAGCTTATTGGGTGAAATAGACTCAGATGGCCCGTCTGCCTCGGAATGTCCTACATTGACGGGAATAGGTGCGTAAGTTGGTGTTGTGCGTGCGCCTTAACCGGGCAGCATCCCTCCCTGTCCTCCCCACCCTCCCGGGCTGGACCCCGGGCGTGTTGGCTGGCGGCGGGGTAGGATTGGTGTGCCGGGTAGGTGTGCGCGGCATCTCTGGCGCAGTTGTTCCCGTTACGAAGCACGAACCTTCCTGGTGATGGCCTCGATTAGAAGCCATGCCCGTTCGCGGCATACCCCAACCCCCCTTCTGCGTGAAGGCCGGATGGGTGGCGGGTAGGCAGTGGGTAACCGCCGCCTCTCCCCCCCTCTCCCTCTGGCATTTTACCTGATGTGTGAGGGGCTACCTGGTTGATCCTGCCAGTAATATATGCTTGTCTCAAAGATTAAGCCATGCAAGTCTAAGTGCACACGGACGGTACAGTGAAACTGCGAATGGCTCATTAAATCAGTTATGGTTCCTTTGATCGCTCCTCCCGGTTACTTGGATAACTGTGGCAATTCCAGAGCTAATACATGCCAACGAGCGCCGACCTGGGCCGCCCTTCTCCCCCTATGTGGCGGGGTGGGGTGGGTCCCTGGGGACGCGTGCATTTATCAGATCCAAAACCCATGCGGGTGCGCGGGCGGTGGAGAGGGGGGCTTCGCGCCTACCCGCCGCCGTCCGCCCCCGGCCTCGCTTTGGTGACTCTAGATAACCTCGGGCCGATCGCACGCCCTCGCGGCGGCGACGGTTCATTCGAATGTCTGCCCTATCAACTTTCGATGGTAGGTCCGTCGCCTACCATGGTGACCACGGGTGACGGGGAATCAGGGTTCGATTCCGGAGAGGGAGCCTGAGAAACGGCTACCACATC